CGGCGGTGCCAGACACCATCGACGGGGTCGGTACAGCAACGCTGTTCGTGGATCGTGTATAACGACAACACGAACTCCCAGAGTCGATTGTCTCTGACAGAGACCCCCGTTTCACTGATAAATTTTGGTCGATTATCTTCAAGGTGCTAGGCACTAAGTTGAATATGTCGACAGCGGATCATCCGCAGACCGATGGCCAAACCGAAAGGGTAAATCGCATCATCGAAGAAGTCCTTCGCAGCGTCCGCACTAAGACACCGAGGCGCTGGAGCGCCATGTTGCCACTCGTAGAGGTTGCGCTGAACAAAGCAGTGCATTCGTCTGCCGGCTACACGCCGTTCTACGTGAACGGGCTGGTTCACCCTCGCGTCCCGCTGACGCCGCCATCCAATGACTCAGGGCTTGGTGGGGTAGGAACAGCCGAACGGCTAGCTGATGTCAGCCCCCTCACCATCCGTAAAGAAGTCAATGACTTCTTGTCTACCGGACTGAGTGTTCTACGTCATTTTCGCGATGCGATGGCTGAAAGCCAAGACCTGCAAAAAGAATATGCAGATGAAAAAGGAAGAGGCGATGTGGAAAGCTTTAAGGTCGGGGACCTGGTTTTACTAAACTCTAAAAACCTGCCTACACATGCAGCCTCTGCTGTCTTCAGGACGAAGCTTCGTCCGCGGTTTATTGGACCGTTTAAGGTTGTGGCCAAGCGGGGCCTAGCGTATACGCTGAACCTCTTTTAACGGATGCGCACCCACCCGGTATTTTACGTGGGCTTGCTCAAGCCGTACCGGATTCCGGCGCAAGTGAACGCGGAAGCGTTGGCGCCGGAGCGGATCCCACGGGCCCTCGGCCACCCAGAAGCTGAACCAGCAACTGGTGTGAGGACGGAATGCAACAACCGCAGCAACCTCCATCTCTAATGGCGCCAAGCGCTTCACCATCGCATGCAGCGGCGCATACGCCTTCTCCGCGGCTAGGATTCGCTCCGACAGAGCGCGATAGTCCTCAAGGCGAGGCAGCCGGCGCAAGGCGTGCTTTTAAGCT